GCCACCGGCCCTATAACAAAAACCCCCTAAAAAAAAAAAAAAAAAAAAAAACAGATTATGAGAGCGTGAACCAGCAGAAGTGTTAATGAAATTGCATCGGCATTGATGCAGTATTTAATCTTCTACATCTTCCTTTTGAAACGCCTTTATGTTAGCTTCTGCCAGTGACTAGCTAAAAAAGAGTTTTTCTAATTTCAAATATATGCTCTTTAGATCATGAATAGAGTATCTGCAGAAAATATTTACTGTAACATGCCAAAAGTCCATATGCTCTGCAGAGATGAGTACCATGGATGTCTAGGAGCTAACTGTTGCTAGGGATGTCCATAGGCACTTATGAATTTAATTCATTTTGTTTTTTTCCCCCTATTTCCTTTAAAATGCCCCTATTCTTAAATGATCCTATTGCTTTTACTTCCCCTAGTATGTTTAGGATGTATAATCATTTAAGAAAAAAAAGATCCAAAATTTGATTAAAAGGTCTACCTCGCTTTCTCCTTAGGTTTCCTGAGTAATTTCATCAGGCCTTTTCTTTACCATTGACTCAGTAGGTCTAACCAGAAGTCACCACGGTGTGAAATGAGTTTCTTCTAACTTCATACGTGTTTTGAAAGTAGATTTCTCAAAATAGTTTTAAACTAAGCTTAAAAGTTCCACGCTAGTTGGGAACCAGCAGTTAGCGTAATGGCTATGTCGCTGGACTCCCACGTAGTCGACCGCGGTTCGTGTCCCGGACCCGGTGGCTTAAAACTCACGCCGGGCACGTGTGCGTGCGTGCCCAAGATCCCGAGAGGAGAATGGAGGAGAAGGGATTGCGGCGTGACCATCCCCCCTGGGGGGTGATTTCTCGCTTTCTGTCTCTATGTCTCTCTCTGTCTGTCTGGCGAGCGCACGCGCCCTACAGTGAAAATCTCTCCAAAAAAAAAAAAATTAAAAGTTCCACGCTAGTTTAAACATTACTACCACCTACATTTTGCTTGTTATGTGTAATGTGGAAGCACACAGGCAAGTTTCGTAGCTTCTACTTTTGAGGCATTCATGCTGGAAAGGGAGCATTGCCACTGGTCATTGAGCACTGACTCATTCAGCTGTCTGAGTAATGCTAGTGGGTATACTGCCTTGGATGTATTCCTGGGGGTTAAATTTATCTTCAGTAAAAATGTGCGTATCTGAATCAGCCCAGCGCTCCATGTACCTGTGAATAAACTGGTTGGAGAGACCAAACTGCTACTCTGATCCCTGTTCTTTTCTCACCAGGCAAGTGTGGTGGGTGGGTGCTTGGGAACTCTTTGTTGGTAAATGCTCATTCAGAAAGGCATGATACTTTCCTCCTCCTCCTCCTCCTCCTCCTCCTCCTCCTCCCCCTGTCAACCCGACCCCAGGACATTGTAGGTATGTGGCCTAGTTATAAAAACTCCAGAAATGGATTGCTGCTCACGGGGACTTTACCATCTACACTCTGAAGCCAGACCTGGACTCTGTTAGTTGAAAGAATTCAGCCAGTCTATAAAATTCAAATTCTTCTCACTCATATATTTCTGGAAATTGCACTGACATTTGACATGTGCTAGTAATGTTCAGGTTTTTGAGTGTTTTCTGCTGCATGTTCTAAAGAATTAACGAGAAATGCTTACTCCGGTGCCATTCTGTGCACTTCATTATGTTTTAATGCTTTTTTTTTTTTTTATTTACAGAAACTTGCTATCACCCTTTTCTCTTTTCCTTTTAAAGGTTTGAACAGGCTTTTATTACCAGTTTGATTAGTAGTGTGATACAAACAAAGGACAGTTATTTTTGGATAGCTCTTCAAGACCAAAATAACACAGGAGAATACACTTGGAAGACAGCCGGGCAAAGTCCCGAGCGGGTGCAGTACACACACTGGAATGTGCACCAACCTCGTGAGTAGAATGGGCATACACCAGCTCTGCCTAACATCCCTCTCCTGTTTTCTTGGCACCAAATTCCTTCTATCCCTTGGTTAGCCTCCTTTAATTCTTTCTTAATGTTTTATTAATGCCTGCATTATCTAAAATGATCGCCACAGGTTCACAGGGGATCACATATTTCTGGTCATTTTAATACTATGGGTCTCCGAAAAGTGCGTGGAGAATATGTATTATAAAAAAACTCAAGGCACTGGACTCCCACACAGCCAAGTATGATTCAGGTCCCGGACCTAGTGGCTTGTTTTCTCATTTTCCCTTTCCTTCTCTTTCTGGTCAAATTTTTGAAAATAATAATTTAAAATATTAACATTTTAAAAATTATGCATGGATTTCAATATTTTACAGCAAAATAAACTCCTAATTTGATTTCATTTTTCCACAAACTTTATGAAGTCACCTCATAGAATTGGTATGAGTCATTTGAAAATATTGAGGTATAAATTCATTGCTCAAGAATTTGAGCCTTTATTAGCAGGAAGGCCAGTTTCTCCTTCCTAAAGAATTTTCTCCAGACTCTTTCACTGTCCAAGAATCTCAAGGGCTTTGTCGGTCAAGATAGTTAAGCTTCCCAGGATAGTGAATGGGCACAGTGGGGATGTCCATGCAGTTAACGGTCACTGCCACATGGCTTCATTGTACAATGCTGAACCCATTACTGAGATAACATGCTTGTAGATCTACCTCTTCTGTGGAATCTTGCCAGGATTCCAGAGTTAACAACTCTATTCATCCTCATGTGCTCAGCTCTGGATCGCAAAGATGAGACTGTGCCCTATCTGGAGAAGCTAATGCTTCAGTCCCAAACCTGCCTGTTGACAACCTAGACCCAACACTGTCCTTTATCCCAGGCTGGGTTCCTATTTGGATACCTGGGTCCCTTTTTTGCCTATGGAGCTCTATCAGAGCTATTTTATATTTTCACGTTAGCTTTAAAGATTTTTCACATTTTATGAAGACATTCCTCAATCAAAAATTATAAAAATATAACATTTTATTTTCTATTACTTTCATAGTTTTTTTTTTTCCCTTTTGTCAGAGGGCAAGTACACTGGCCAGAGTGACACAGGCACAGAGAGAGGGAAAGTGAGAAAGCACCTGCTATGGGGAACTGTCATGCCATGTTCCTTCACTCTATTTTTTCCTCCTTTCGGAATTTTGGGCACACACGCACACCAGGTCCAGAATTTGATCCACACAATCAGTCATGTGGCATCCAGTCACCTTAACCAACATGCCACGGGCTGGCCCATAGTTTGTTTTTTTAAATCTGTAACTTGATCTAGAATTTTGTTAAATATGTCCTAGGAGGTTTCTCAGTTTAGTTTTTCTATTTAATAACCAGTTGCTTCAATGCCATATACTGATTAGTCCATTCTTTGAATACTGATTTGAAAGAACATAATTAACATACACTATATTCTAACTTTCTATTTCTCTGACAATAGCACTATAATAAGCAATGTGATAATAAAAGAGAAATAGAAAAAACTTAATCAGTATAAGCAGAGAGGGGCTAATCACACAGAACATCATTTATTTTGTTATTCTTACTTTGCTTAAAGCTATTTTGACTGCATAAACAAAACCAAAATGATATCTAATTAAAATAAAACAGGTCAGAATGAAAAACTAGATAGCAAAATATCATTTGAGAGTTCTGTCAAAGATAAGCACGGTGTTGGCAGGTGGTGCTGGATTCCCACATGGCTGACCACAGTTTAAATCCTGGACCTGGCGCCTTGCTTCCTCACTTTGCCTCTCTGTCTCGCTGGTCAAATGAAAAAATAATAAGTAAAATTAAATAAATTCTTTTTTAAAAAAGATGAGAACAAAAACAGTAATTAACTTTAGATATTGTTGATTTTGTTCAGAACATATGTTGAATAGCTAGTGTAACAACTAAAGGAGTATACTTAACTTCCAAGTAAATAAAGAGAGAAAATGGAACAATAGAAGAAGAAAAAAATTCAGCCAAAAGGTAACAAAAAACAAAAAGAAAAATTACACTAAAAAGTGTAAGACAAATAGAAAGAACATAATAAAATTGAAGAAATAAGTTGAATAGTTGAATTATATACATTATATATATGTGTGTGTGTGTGTATATATATATATAGAGAGAGAGAGAGAGAGAGAGAGAGAAACTCAACTCTATTGTTAAAGACTACATGAATAATGGTTTTAAAATTCAGTTATATACAGGGCCAGTCCATTAGCCTAGTGGTTAAGGGTGCCAGATGCCACATGGATGACCACAGTTTGAGTCCCTGCCCCAGTGGCTTGAAAAACACACTGGGCACACGTGCATGTATGTCCAAAATGCTGACAAGATGGAGAAGTGGAGGAGGCTTTACAACAAAACCACACCATACTGGGGGCTGCTTTCTCCTCTCTTTCTCTCTGTCTCTCTCTCTCTGATGAGCACACACACTCCAGTAATTAAAAACAAATCAGGTATATGTTATTTATAAGTGTTACTTTATCAGTACCTAATGTATGTGGGGCAAGAGAAATATCCAACTGCAGATCCCGCTAGCATCCTGTCCCCATAAAGGTGGAGAAACAACCGAGAGGCACTCACCAGCGAGTCTCACAGTCCAGGGTCACAAGCTCCCTAACAGACTGAAACTAGATCGTAGAACTGTAGCGCACTCCCCCTGCTCCCACACTTTTCCACGGCATCATGAAAGGCCTGTGTACCGCAGAGCCTTTACCCAACACATATGTCCGCCTTTCAATGAAAACGTTGTAAGTCAAACTAAAAGGCAAAAAGAAAACAAACAAAAAAAGACCCCATCAGTTTGAAAAGATTGAACAAACACCAGAATCAGAAATGGCATGAATGTTGGAATTATCAGACAAACGATTTTTAAAACTGTAATTAGTGTGCTAAGGGCTTTAAAGAAAAAAGTATACAACATGAGAAAGCAGATGGATAAGGTAAGCAGAGAGAAGAAGATTTTAAAAAAACAAAAAAGAAAAAAGAAAAGAAAAAGAAATCTAAAAGGCTAGAGATTCACACTATAAAAGATATTGAGAATTCTTTTGGCAGGCTTATTAAATTATACTTGACTGAGGAAAGAATCTCTGGGCTTGAGGATATGATAATAGAATCTTCCAAAATTGAAAAACAAAGGGAAAGAAAAACCTGAAACAAACAAGATAAAATATTGCAAAATGTGGTACAGCTACAAATGTGGAAATGTGTGTAATAGGAAAATCAGAAGAAGAAAAAGAGAAAGTAACAGAAATAATATTTGAAGCAATAAATAAGAATTAATTTCCCCCAGATTAGTGTTAGACACCAAGGCAAGGAGCTCAGAGAATGCCAAGTAGAAAAAATGCCCAAAAAACTACACCCAAACATATCATATTTAAACCTTAGAAGGTAAAGAAAAATATCTTGAAGGAAGCCAGAGTGGGAAAACATCTTACCTATAGCAGAGTAAATAAAAGAAGTGCTTTTAACTTCTCCTCAGAAAGCCTGCATGCAAGAGGAGAATGCATGAACTCAAAAATGTTGACCAAAAAAAAGCCACCAATGGAGAATTCTACTCTCTTGAAATTATCCTTTAAAACTGAGGGAGGGGTCAGCAGGTGGTGTAATGGTTACGTCACTGGACTCCCAGGTAGTCGACCAAGGTTCGAGTCCTGGACCCAGAGGTTTAAAACTCATGCTGGAGGCGTGTGTGTGTGTGTGTGTGTGTGTGTGTGTGTGTGCCCAAGATCCCGAGAGGAGACTGGGAGAGAAGCAATTGCAGTGTGGCAATGTCCCAGGGGGTGATTTCTTGCTTTCTGTCTCTCTGTTTTTCTCTGTCTCTCTGGCAAGCGCATGCTTCCTATAGCAAAAATCTCTCTTTAAAAAAAATAGTTTTCCAGAAAGGAAAATAATATAGATATTCAGATCTACATGAAGAAACAAAGAGCATTGGAGAATAAATAAGTGAAGATAAAATAAAAATCTTCATTTTCCTTATCCTTAATTGATCTAACAGATAACTGTACACTCAAAATAGTAACAGCAGGAATATATTCAAATACACATACATATAAGTACATGTAGGCAGAGTCTTCAAAAACGGTCACAGAAAAAGTGTACTATGAAATAATTTTGCATGGATTTCAATTTTTTTTACACTAAAGAATTCATACTAACTATAACAAATCTGAAGAGGGTCTAGTTTGAGCCACTAAAAGGGGGCAGTTTAAAAAAAAGTCCCTAGTAGAGCAACATGAATTTGGCAAAAAGTGAAGAACATCAAACTTATAGTGGAAGTGTAGGTGTAATGGTAAAATCACTGATGCTTTATGAAAGGTTTATAGGATCAATTCCCCAATAAATAAGCAGTTTACAAATGGATAGCATTTTTTTTTTTTTTTTTTTTTTTTGTTTTTTTATAGAGCACATGCACTCTCTGGGGGG